TGATCGGATTGAGTTTGAGTGTAGCCAAAAGCAATCAAGGTCTGTCTGAATCTGTCAAACCATGCTCTGTGAGATTGTTTCAAGCCATAAAGTGACTTCTTAAGCCTACATACCTTTCCCTTTTCAGTATCATTGTAAAARCCARYARGAAKATCCATATACACTTCTTCTTGCAGATCCCCATTTAGGAAAGCATTCTTCACATCAAGTTGAAACAAGGGCCAAGAGTGAGGCAGCAAGAGAAAGAAGTATTCAAACGGAGGTCATCTTTGCAACTAGCGCAAAGGTCTCTAAGTAATCAATGCCATATGTCTGTGTGTACCCTTTTGCAACAAGTCTTGCCTTGTACCTTTCTATACTTCCATCTGCCTTATATTTTACTGTGTAAACCCATTTACGTCCAATTGTCTCCTTGCCTTCTGGTAGATCTACAACGTCCCATGTCTGATTCTTAATCAAAACTGCAATCTCTTCCTGCATAGCTGTCTTCCACTCAGGTTTGGAGAGAGCCTCACTAACACCCTTGGGTATAGACACTGAATCAAGAGAAGAGAGAAAAGCACGGTAGGAAGGAGAAAGTCCATTGTAGGATAAGTATTGTGAAATACAATGAGAAGTACACTTTCTCTTCCCTTTTTTAAGAGCAATAGGAAGATCAAGGTTATTGGTAACAGATTTAGTAGGATCAATGGGAATTGAAATAGTAGCGGGGTCAAGAGGAATGCCTGAATCCATATCAGCCGAATCTGGAGTCTCCAAGGGATTGACAGGAAGTGGTATGAGTTCTACTATAGTGGAATCAACCGCCTTGCGAAGTCTCTGTCGTGAGTAATGCTGAGAAACAGAGCGCAAAGGAGGTGGCAAGGTAGGTAGTACAGAGTGGTGGTCAAGCATAAAAGGTGACACAGGGACTGGAACTGGGAGAGGGATAGATTGCTGACTTACTTCCCCAAAACACTCCCCCTGAGAAGGATTCTGTGAGAAGAAGTACGTGGATTCAAAAAAGGTGACATCCATGGTAACATATCGATTCCTAGAGACTGGATCATAGCAACAGTACCCTTTCTGATTTTTTGCATATCCAAGGAAGACACACTTCTTTGCCTTGGGATCAAGCTTCGAGCGGTGAGGACCAAGGATGTGTGCAAAGCAGACACACCCAAACACCCTCAGAGGAACATGAAACATCTCCCCCTGAGGAAAAAGAAGGCTGAATGGAGTGTTGAATCCAAGTATACGAGAAGGCACCCTGTTAATCAGATATACTGCTGTGAGAACTGCATCACCCTAAAATTGAACTAGAACTGTAGATGTGATCATCATGCTTCTTGCAGTCTCAACAATGTGTCTGTTCTTCCTTTCTGCAACACCATTCTGCTGTGGACTATAGGGGCAACTGCTCTGATGGACAACACCATATTCTAACAGATATGAGGCAAGATGTCTTTTAAAATATTCCCTGACATTGTCAGATCTGAACACCTTTATTTTTGTTCCAAACTGTATTAGTACCATCTAATGAAATTGCCTCACCAAGGATGGTACCTCATCGCGGGATCTCATCAGGTAAATCCAAGAGTATCGTGAGAAATCATCCATAAATAAGAGAAAATAGCAATAGCCTCCCATAGAAGGAACATGGTAAGGGCCCCACACATTCGAATGAATAACATCAAAAGAAGAAGAACATCTTTTATTATTAGGTTTAAATGAATGTCTACAATGCTTTCCAAGTTGACAACCTTCACACTTTAGACTTGACAAACTAATAGACTCAAAAAGTTTTGGAAACAAAAAACTCAAAGAAGAAAATGATAAATGACCCTAACGATTATGCCAAAGCATGATTTGACTCACAAACCCCGACTCACTATCCCTGCTGACATGATGACTCTAATGAGAAGGAAGTACATCTAGGAGGTAGATTCCATTCACTTCACGACCACTCCCAATCGTCCTCTTTGAATCCAGATCCTGCAAAATACAACGACTAGGAGAAAAAATTACTGAGCAGTTCAGGTTCTTAGTCAAACTACTAACAGATAACAAATTAGTGCTCAATCTRGGAACATGAAGGACAGAGGGTAGAGAAATAGAATCACTAATCTTGACAGATCCCTTCCTAGCAATAGGAATATGGGATCCATCAGCTGTGGAGACCCTATCTCTACCAGAATAGAGCTGGTAAGTTGAAAAAATAGTAGAGCTCTGAGGCTCCAAAATCTATAATCCAAGGAGGTCCCTCCTTACCTGAAGTGGAAACATAATTTGCAGTGACGCGTGAACTACTTGTGTGAGCAAAGGAAGTAGAGTGGACTCCACCAGTGCCACCTGTACCTTGCTGTTCACTTGCGGCTGAACTGGAACTAGTTGTATCCCACTGGTTTAGAAGTAGCCCATACCTCTCAAGTTCGGCCCTTACTGCAATAGCTACAACAAACTCTAGAGCAGCTGTAGTAGGAGAGGCTGGAATGTCACCAATAACTGTCATGTGTGCATTTCCCTTCTAATTTTTCAACATAGTCAGCACAAGATGTGGGTGAAGTTTCCAGCAAGTATCTCTTGTATGTTTAGGCTTCTTACAGTAGTCACAGATTAGATCTCTTTTATCTTCCTTCTTAATGTCACTACCACTTTGTTTAGGTTTCACAACACTTACCCTGGCAAATTGATCAGAAATAAGGTTTTTCATCATCACATCTCTCCTGCAC